ACCGGTTTAGTTATTAAATCATTAAGCAAATGAACCTGATAAAACCCGTTCACCTGGCCATTTTTATAATAAATTCGGTGAACAGGATAAAACCTGTTGATCCGGCCGGTTTTATAACAAACTCGGTGAACCGGACGGTTTAACTCAAATAATATATAATGAAGTTTCTAGGGTATTTTTGGCCCAAATTTCATTTATTTGGTTTGTCTGTGCCCTCTGCTGGTCCTCAATGCCGACTGCTCCTCACAGCTTCACAGGTCAGTCTTCTCTCTCACACACACACACACTTGCTCGCCGATCGCCGCACTCAGCAGCTCAATCGAAGACTTGAACTACTCCGATTCATAGAAAATGGACTATTGTGCTGTGATATTTAATTAGTAAGTACTCGCCTTTAATTCATCCATGCATAATGCATTTGTCTTTCGAAGAACTCAGAAATAATCGATGCCTTTCACTTTATTTCATATTTTTTTCAGTCAATGATTGGAAAAATGAGTTGGGCAATTTGTGAAATTTCAATTTTTAGTATGAATATTACACTGGTTTTCTGTGCTTTTGTTTATTAATTTTTTGCAATCCATGCCTTTCACTTTATGTGGTTTCTTTTTCAATCAATGTTTCGAAAACTGAGCTAGGCAATTGGCGAAATTTCAATTTCCCAATTTTGCACTGGTTTTGTGTGCTCCTATTTCTCAATTTTGCACATTTTATGCTTCAGTTTGCTGTTGCCTTTATCGTGGTCATATTGTTTAGTATCTAATATGTTTATGGATGTGGATGTTTTTCGATTTGCCAAGTAGACAATTAATTTTTTTCTTCATTGACATTGGTAGCTAACATATTCAGTGCTCTATTGAAAAAAGATGTATTTATGTGGTATGTTGATGAGCACTCTGGATACTGAGGCTGAAACTGCAACATGTGTGTGTCTATATGTGTCTAAATTTGAGTTTGTCCATTAGATATTACTTTGATATTCCATGTTGCAGTTTCAACCAAATTTTTACTCCAACCATGACTCAAATTTAAGTTAACATTTGAGTAAAAAACTTGATTTGATATAAAAGACTCCAATGGACAAACTCAAATTTAAAGAAGGAGAGACTCAAATTTGAATGAGGGCAAATCCAAATTTAAAAGGGAATAAGGATGACAATTGGATCTTTAAAAGATGGTAAAATCTCACCATTAAAGATTTGAGTAAAGATTTTAGTCTCCTTTGATTTGAGTAAAAAAATGAGTTTCTCTTGATTTGGTATAAGTTTGAGTCGAGGGTTATGACAAGTTTTTTTTGACTTTTGTACTTAAATTTAAATTTGAATCTAAATTTGAGTGAGGTTTGGAGCTGCCCTTAGTCATTTGATTGTAGTGGTAGTATTTGTATTTTCAATTAGATTACAATTTATATATGCCTTGCTTTGGATACATTATGCATTGAATTGAATGTATTGGATACATGTTTGATGATTTTAGGGGGTTTTGTTTGATCTAATATATATTAATATATATTAATCATGCTATTTTCATAATTATTGTGATTGTTTAGTTTATTTATAATTATTTTTTATTATTTGATTGGTTCGACTAGCGACCCAACGGTTAAACCAGTAACCCATTGATCCGGTCCCTTTCTCGGGTTGATGTACGGGTGAGGTTTTAAAACTATGCACCGATATCTATATACAGCACACACAAACACTATATATATATATATATAGATAGATAGATATGGTATAAAGAAGGAAAAAAGGGGAAACAAGCAAGAGAGACGATGTATGTTTCGTCTTTGTCTTCAATTTTGTCTTTATCTTCTACTACGTCTTCATCATCTTTGTTGCTGGTTTCAAAAGAGAGGAATGAGCGAGACAAAGGAACGAGCGAAACAAAGAGAGACAGATAAGGGAAAGAGATTAAAAAAAAAAAAGGAAAAGAGCTTTTTATAGTTGGTACAAAAAAAGCCTCATTTTGTTGCTAATGAGATTCGAAGATTGGATCTCATTAATTGTTAACAGGATACACACGTGTTTTTAGTTTTGGAAATTTCAAAAACATCATTTTTAATATTATAGATTTGGACTTTGTTTTCATAATAATATGGCTTAAAAAATTAAAAACACTTCCCAAACATATTATTGTTTTTTTTTTTTACAAAAAGTGAAAACAAAAAAAAAACACAAACACAAGGTTATCAAACGGCACCTTAGACAATTTTCCTATTGGTTGCCTAGCAACGCCTATGATATTTTGGGATAACCTAGTTATCCGTTTGGTCAGATTTTATCCTCTGCTTAGATGGACCCACTTCAGCTCAGTTGGGATAGTTTATCTTCTTGCTCGGTCAGACCTTATTCTCTGCTTTGTCGAACCTACTTTAGCTCAACCAGGATAGCCAAGCTACCTGTTCCTTATGTTATCTTCTGCACGATCATAGTAGAGTCATTCCAAATAACTCTTTTCAGCATGCGCAACTTGTCACGTGTCCAAGTCCAATTGTCAGATGATGATTAGAATTTATCATGTGTATCTGGTACGTATCTTCAAGTATTCAATGAATATCATATTTTTTACGTATTTGAGGTGGATACATTAACCTCAACGGAGTATCTGTGTTTCATAGGTTGTGATTAGGAATGATAAACGATCCGAACTACTAGGATTGGGCTTAAGTTCGACACGTTATTGGCTTGTTCAAGCTTCGTTTTATAAAATGATCTAAACATGAATAATTTTTTTAAGATTTTTTAAAATTCGTGTCGAGCCCGAACATCTTACTAGGCTTGTTTTATAGTTCATGATGTTTTATTCATTGCTATTCTGTGTAGTTGTAAATAATAAAGATTCTTAGGGTATAATGAGTAAAATAAAGAAACCAAGAAAAATGAAGAATAGACCATCACGTGGTGCTGGTCGGTCTAACATACTCTTGGGCTCTCCCACCCCCTCTATCTCTCTCTTTCTCTACCTTGAGCCATGAACACTCTACCGTCTAATCACTAGCATTCTTTCTCACACACTCTCTCTACCTTGTGCGACAAACACTCCACCTCACACTCTTTCTTCCCTATTCTTAATCCAACTCCTTTAGAGACATGATTTTCTCCCCCTATCTCGCTCTCCCCCCCCCCCCCCCCCCCCCCCCCTC